CATATGAAGTAACCTCTTTTGCTATTGAGGTTCTTGTATTATGCCTTTTACCATCCCATTCAGAACTTTATGTTCCTAAATCTTTCATTGATACGAGTAGGATTTAGCATACTGAAGAAAATGTTTGCAGTGATGTAATGAAAGAGAAAAGTCTTGTATACAGATTTTTATAGAATCGTAAAATAGTTAGGGTTGGAAAGGACCTTAAGATCATCAAGTTCCAACTCCCTTGCCATGGGCAGGGACACCTCACACTAAACCATCTCACCCAAGGCCTCGTCCAACCTGGTCTTGAACACTGCCAGGGATGGAGCATTCACAACCTCCCGAGGCAACCCATTCCAGTGCCTCACCACCCTAACAGGAAAGAATTTCCTCCTTATATCCAATCTAAACTTCCCCTGTTTAAGTTTTAACCCGTTACCCCTTGTCCTACCACTACAGTCCCTAATGAAGAGTCCCTCTCCTTCCTATAATAGCTTCATAAACTACAAGCAACTACACCTTATAGTGTGTGCAGTGCCATAACTCACTGTATTTATTTTAATGCAGTAACTCAGTGTTGCTCCTTGGTTCCTCACCTCTATATATCTTCTGACAGCAAAAAGCAGATCCTTTCGTTCTCAAGCAATAAAATACAACGTGAGAGCAGTGACCTGAAGTATTAATTGTCTCTGCCTAAGACTGGTTGTCTTGGTTGCAGTGATTACTAGAGGAAGCAATGATGGAAAGTAGAGAGATCTCAGACGGTATCACTGCACAGCGATGCCAGTGGAGGATACAAGAGAGAATAGCAAAGATTAAGTTGGCCTCCTGAGATTCAAGTATAAGAGAGTGAACAACTCTCCTTCTGTGAAGGAGTTACTCCCAGCAGTGGCACCCAGAGCTGCCCCACACAGTCTGTGGGCACTCCAGGACGAGTCCTGGGAATCTGGCATATCCCAGGTTCAAGCAAAACCCAGTGGGCTGCATGCAGGAAGACTAAACAGAGGTTATGCTTTTAAAAAACCCTGGCCAAATTTATCGGGATTATTCCATATCAACAATTAATAGAATTAACAGAGTATAAGCCTGTGCTGAATATCTGCCAAAGATGTCACTATTGCATTCATGATTCTGTGTTTGTTTTGCCTCGAGGTGGAAAAGAGACACTGCACCTATGATTTATTTATTATCTGCCTTTAAAGAAATGGGAGCATTTATAAGTCGAAGAATGTGAGATAAACAGTTAAAGAGGTAACTGCTGTTTGCTACTGCTTTGGGGTGATGGAGCATGCAGTACATGACATGAGTGGTTACAGGACTCTGGTGAAAGTTTCTGTGCTGACATACAAAGGTCTCTGTCTTGATTTGAATCAACCATCCAAAACTAAAACCTAAGAATTAGTTGCCAAATCTGCCAAAGCCCCATGCTTTCATACCTGCTTTTGATACAAACCCCCAAGAGCAATAGCTACAACAGTACAGCCCATGTTTAAGTTTACATGTAAACAGCAAGACATGAAGCTCTTTACTCCAGAATTATATTAGACACAGTGTGCATATTGCAGCTGTGGTGTCTAATGTAGGAACTCTCTGTTTAGATATAGAGGAAATCTATTTTTTCCTTTCAAACACTTCTCACAGCCCTAATTTCCCTCAGTTCAAGAAGGACAGGGACCTGCTGGAGAGAGTCCAGCGCAGGGCAACTAAGATGATTAAGGGAGTGGAGCATCTCCCTTATGAGGAAAGACTGAGGGAGCTGGGTCTCTATAGTTTAGAGGAGACTGAGGGGTGACCTTATTAGTGTATATAAATATATAAAAGGGGAGTGTCACGAGGATGGAGCCAGGCTCTACTCAGTGGCAAACAACGATAGGACAAGGGGTAATGGGTACAAACTGGAACACAAGAGGTTCCACTTAAACTTGAGAAGAAACTTCTTCTCAGTGAGGGTGACAGAACACTGGAACAGGCTGCCCAGGGAGGTTGTGGAGTCTCCTTCCCTGGAGACATTCAAAACCCGCCTGGACACATTCCTGTGTAACGTTATCTAGGTGTTCCTGCTCCGGCAGGGGGATTGGACTAGATGATCTTTTGAGGTCCCTTCCAATCTTTAGCATACTGTGATACTGTAATTCTAATCCAGTTACTCTTTCGTTCTTTCCCCATGGTAACTCAAGTCATAAAAGAACAAACATTCAAAATCCCCACTATTCTAATTAAAAAGGGCTTGTCTTCAATTGCTATGACACCTTCTACCCTTTCCCAGGAAGCTTGATGGTCTCTATTTTGAGAGCTCAAACTCAAACAGGACAAGAATGAGTTTCTTTGTTCCTCTTTTTTTCCTCTCTGGTAATTAAAACTGGCAGACAGGAAGAATGCTCAGGTTGACTTTTTTTTATTAGGGTCAGCTAATTAAATCATCATATTTGGAAAATGCCTGTTGCTTTCATATCAGAGCAGGAGATATTCAAAATATCTTCAGGACTCAGGGCTTCAAGAAACAATGATTAAAAATCTTATATATTTAGGACCCTAAGTCTGACTGACAAGGGACATGTCTCCAGCTCCTAAGTCATGGAGCTATTTTGAAATCATTGGCCTGAGTGCAAATTTGTGATTTGCAGCTACTAAAGGATAGCTCATAGGATGTTCTAAGTGCAAGCTTTCCCCTTGGGAAAGACATACCATTCCCATGTCCACTGGGAGGGTAGAGGTCAGCATCTAACCACATCCTGCTTGGACCCCATACAGATCCTTTCTTTTTCTACCAGACCCTGTCCTCCTCTCCAGCAGCTCTTTATGACAATAGGCAGTGACCCAGCAGAACTGTTCACAAACCAGGCTCAAAGTTAATTTATAAATTGTGAGAGTAAATTTACATTCCAAATATTGCAGAAAAGCATTTTTGATCTATTAACAGAACTATGCTGAGTTTACTCAACACATTCAGAGTAGGCCTTTTCCCCAGCAGAGACGGAGGCACAGCTCCACTGAAGTTAATGGAGCCAGACTGATTGACACCAGTGGAGAAGCCACCTCAGGATTCAACTGTTTTAATACTGAACAGATTTCACGTGGATTCCAATTTCAACACAGTACACCTCCCCTCAGGTACTCATTTGGTATTTTGCAAGGCTAATTTGTACTAAACATAAAATATGCATGCTCGATATTGTCTACGGCACTAAAGTGTCCAAACTACCCATGCATGCCCAAGTCAGGCTCCCCTGTACACTCTGGAGTCATAAGAAAATGCTATAATAGGCATACCTGTGCATTTGGGAACACACCTGAAAACTTACAAAAACATTTCCAACTGCTTACTGAGCCTTTAATTGCAGGCACTGATGTGTTGACTCCCCATGCAACTGCACAACAATTGGATATATTTGCATGCCTACAAATTCTGAGTTTTAGCACATTTTTATTTCAGCAAGACCTCAAATCCCACCTGAGCAGGGCAGGAAAACTTCTTGCCTAAGGTTTGGGGTTTTTTTCTAAAATGGGGAAGACTGGAAGTAAATGACAGTCAGAGATCCTGAGTTCCACCTTTCCTTGCCATCACACCAGCAGAGCACACTCTAAGCCCTGGGAATTACATTTCTATCTGAGGCAAAGTCAAATGACACAACCTAGTGCCAAGCAGCACTGCTTCGTTGCCAAGAGCTGCAGGAGGCTTTCTGTCTGTTGTAAGGCAAAGGCAGGTTGCCTGCTCTTCCTGTGTGCAATTCCCTGCATTTTGGTTATACTATGTTAAAAGCAAGGAGGGTTACACACTGACATCTCAAACAGAGTGTACTGCTGAATCTGGGCTGTGTGAGCAAGAGAGTAGAATTCAAACTTGTAAATTAGGAAAATAATTATTTTGCACCAAATTTGCTGCCTTACTAATTCCCTCCCAACGGGAGCCATAAAAATTCTGTCTGAAGAAAATACAATTCACAGGTCAGATAGAAAAATCAAAAGCTTTAAACCCTCAGAAGCAGCCCCATCTGGTGAGCAGAGGGGAAGCCAAGGCAAATCCATTCCCCATTCTTTCTGGTGGGTAACCTGACATCACCTGAAGCTGTTAATAGCCCTGAAGTTCCCTGGCTATTTCTTGCCTGGTAAACAACTTCTGGAAGATGAGATTTCTTCTTCGTTTAAGATGCAAAATCTTTTCACTGGCCCTACCAGCCCTACTGTGCTGTCAGGAAGCCCTATCATGTCTCTGAGCTCAGGAAATGGAGCAATCTGGGGCTTGGCACATCCATAACAAGATGACTACCTCCAAAGCACATACTTCAGTTTGGATGCCTAGGGAACAAGGTAAGTCGCCACTGGCCAAAGACCTAGACTTTATAATCAACTTCCCGACAGCCTCAAGAGAGTAATTTCAAGAGCAGTCTTAGGCTCCTTCCTCTATTTCAGCTTCCTTTTTTCAAATCTCACATAGCATTAATTCTGAAGCAGGAACCATACCGCTTCTAGGTCAATTCCTTGCAATAAAAACACAGGTAAAATTCAACAAAGGGTATTATATTTATCCTGGCAATAACTGGAAACTGCTTAATGACTAAAATGTTAGGAGTAGCAAAACAAGGCAGCCAGAATAAGGAGTTAAGAAGGGCAAATTCAAGAGAGGAAGGCCTCAGCATGAGAGGCAAATCTGCAAAGGTGGAGAAGCAAGTGGAGAAAGCTCTCTGCCAGCTCCCACTGTCTGAGAGCTCAGGAGCAGCCAGGGATCCAAAGGAACAGTGTGACTTCAAACTGCACCAAATTTAATGTGATAGAGGCAGAGGTCCAGCTTGGACATGTAGTTCATGATTAAATGAAGAGCGGCACCAGCATCTCACCAGTGCAAAGGAACACCAGAAAACACAGTTTACTTTATAAAATGGAACTAAACAGGTTATGGGGGCTGTTGTGACTGCTGTATACAACCTCACCGCATCATGTGAGGTTTTTATCCTTCCAAGAGAAAAAAAATATTGGCAGACAGTGAGATACACACTCTTAGCCTTCATATAAGTCATGACATCTTGCACAATAACCCGTCCAGGGGAATTATTTCAGCCTCCTGTCATGGGCTTAAACTTATCAAAGACTTTGCAATACAAGGTACCTGACCATCTCAGCAACTCAACAGTATTAAGACAAACTGCTACAGCTATATTCCACTCTATATTCAAGCCATAGCCTACATAATTTTCACTGTTAAGAAGCCTGGCTAGAAGAGCCCTCTGATCTTGTCACTATGATCTATATTTTTTTTTTTTTTAAACAAATGTTCTATGATTAATTCCTCTCTCTTAAAAAAGCATGATGATGAAATCTGTGATTTAATTCCTCTGCGGTTATAGCTCTGACTACAGCCTAGAGTTCAAAATATTCTTTGTCGACTATCACAGGTTCTACTGAGCATAGATCTTTTGCTGCCAAAGATTTCATGTGAAGTTGAATTTTAAGTACCAGCAGTAGATTAGCTTGGCAAAGGGAAGTACTATTAGGCATTCAACAACTGTTCAGACACAGCCTGGAACATAAAAATTGAGCTGATGAAAACGACAGCTTGACAGAGAAAGAAAGACCAGGAATACATCCCCATCATCAATTTTTTTCCAGAGAGAGCTCCGAGACAGCAAGCAAAGAAAATAGATCACCCCCCCAGTAATAACAAAGAAAGCAGGCTGGATTTAGGTTCAGTTCAAAACCAGTGCAGGCTAACACCACACCACATCTGTGCAACAAGAGATTACTCTGGGACTGATCCAGGGAATGGCAGAGGTCCATGCTCACAGCAGCTCTCGGTCAGTAACGAGCTCCCCTTTTTCTCAAGGTTCAGACCTCAAGTGGAAAGTTAAAATGCTGTAAAGAGACCTTTTAGTTGTCTACAATTCATAAAATACCTTGCAAAAAAAACATCTTTCATGTTCAAATCCCTGAGACATTGATGGATTTTAAGGGTTTAGCATTCAAAAAGAATTTAAGGGTCTTATGTTCAAATGGAGAAGCCCTTTTTGTAGGCATCCAGAATTGCCTTTGTATTTTGATGGTTACAGTATGATCATTAACTGATGCACACATTTTAAAAGTATAAAATACAAAACAAAATAAAACTTTCCAGTTTTGATTTAAGAAGCATTTTACTTAGGAATTTTTACTAATGCAGCACACATTTTTTTTCTCCTCAAAATATTTTGCAACACCTTTGGTAATTTTTGGTGGAGGAAATAACATCTGTAACCAAAAGAATACCAAAATCCTCCTTGCTTTTTAAGCCTGTATAATTTCTGAGATAGTCCCCAAACTTTTGGTTCAATTAAAATAACTAACAGTGACAAAGCTTTATCTGCAGATGAGAAATGTGGATGATGAGGCCCATCTAATTGATTCAGCTTCACAGACAAAAGCACTATGCTGAGATTTAAAATTGCTCCTTACATAACCATGGACCCATGAAACCAAAAAAGTTGAATCATGCTTACAAGAAAGAAGGCAGGCCCAGATATACAATCCAGAAGTGGAGAGTTACGGAGCAGGGATGAGAAAAGGCTGGTTGCCAAAGCTAGTACGTAGAAGGAGAGAAGCACAAAGAAGAGCCAGGACTATTATATGACTGTAAAAGGTCATGCTAATGGAGGTCAGGTACACCCACACAGGAAGAACATGTCAAGACTCTACAGAAGTCCTGTAGTGAGGCTGTCATAGCACAGGGTGAGGAAATGATGTCTTAAAGGCAAGATTTAAGCCAAGGAGAACCCACAGGGCATCTTCTGCAATATCTAGGAAGAATGAAGTAGTCATTTTTAGCCCTTAAGAAAATTAAGTATCAGTATAAAGTGAAACTTCATGAAGTTCTGTTCCTAATAGAAAAAATATGTGCTTTCAAAGTACCAGTTTATTGCCCTATTTTAGGTATATATTTCAGAAGAAATAAATGACACCAGAAAAATCTGTTTCTCCCCATTGACTACAACAGGAGCCTTAACTTATCCAGCCTTCATCCAAACGTCTGCAGGGTCAGCTAAACTCTACCCATTCAGCCTGAAAGGAAATTAAGAGAATAAGGAATAGAACTACCCATTTTGGATAGTTTCAAGTGTCCTTTTCCAAAAAGGACAGAATCATGTTTCTCTAGTAAAATTTTTTTCCATGTGTTTTTCAACAAAGGGTCCTTCAAAATGGAAATAGCTCCATGATGTCCACATGCAAATGTCTATATGCTTAGAGTGGATTAAAATCTGCAGGTCATCAACATTTTACCTCTGACTAGTTTAGACTAGACAACTGTGAACAGGTCAGAAATGAGTACAATGCAGGTATGTTAATATCATCAGCTACTAATTTCTAAGCTAAGAAAGTTTAAATTCAAAATGCTTTTTCTGGATCTGTAGCAAAATTTAGGCCTTCAGAATAAGATACCTAACTCTCACTAAATCTTACTCATGCACACTGATTCTAAAAAGCAAAATTTTTTGCCATAAAATGCACCTAAACCAGATATAGTCAATACCACAAACCTTTGGTCAAAACAGGTGATGCACTAGCACCAATAATGCAAATTCCATCCTGTATGGGCAACAGGTAGCTTCCCTGTTCTCCGAAAATACATCTTGAAGGGGTATTATCTTCTGTACCCATATGGGGTAATGGTTGGACTTAATCTTAAAGATCTTTTCCAACCTGGTTAATTCCATGATTTTATGCCTGGTCTCTCCTGAGTTCAACATTAACATCATGACCTCATTTTATCTGTGAAGCTGATAATTGATTTATCTTTACTGAAACCAGGAACCTTGCTGCTATCCATGCTAGACTGGCCTGGATTTAAACTACTGGCAGAGATGATGATTATTTCTCACTCCTATTAACAATTTACTAAGCCATGCATTGCTTCCCCTTCATGGTTGAGATATAGCTAATGTATTTTAGGTACACATCTAACATTGTCTTAGAACCATGCAAAGAGCAATAAGAACATTAGCAGAAAGTGTGTGATTAAGTAGAGACGCCTCTGCCTCTACATGCTCATTTTCAGAACGCTTTAATTGAATTTCCTGATGTGAAGAGAGATAGTTCTGGTCATCTACTCAGTGCCTGTTGCCTTGGAAAAAAGCCTGCAATAGGATGCCATAGTCTGTTTTAACAGCAGATATGGAGTGATATCGGAAGAATAAAAGGGAAGAGTAGGCCTGTGTAATGTTCCCCTCTTACAGAGTTACTTAATACAGCACAAACAGATCATCACAAAGGTTACGATTTCCAGAGAAATCAGACATGCAAAACCAACACAGATCTCTTGCCCCAGTGCAGAGTGCACTGCAAAACCCTTCATGTGACAATAATACATTTTCCACTCAGGCTACAAATTCCTTGTCACAGTCCTACTGCCGTGGTACAAGATGTTCCAGGGACATCAATAGATTTGGTTCTGCATTTCTAGAACTCCCTGACTTGTCTACTCTTTCACTTTGAAACTAAGGTCCTTTCCAACCCTAACTATTCTATGATTCTGTGTTTCTTAAACTAACTCTCACTTTGATGCCTGGTGAAAACAGAATGATCAAGCTAAAAGAACATCTCTAAAAACACTGGCCACTAAACCACTCTGCAGCAAAAATAAGGCAGATATTTCAAGACATGCTCTCAGTACACAGACCTACAGGCAAGATTTGTTTTCTCAGCATCTCTCATTTAAATGGAAAAGTCTGGCACCATTACCAGAAATACAACAAATTCAGGCTATTTGAATTGTTGAGACAGGAACAATGCACTGCAAAGGAAAGAAGCCTTCTGCAAGAGCTCCCCAACAGCAATGCCTGATTTATAGTAACATAGGGTACCTTGTTTGCCTGTGGACCTTATATAAGCCAGTGTTTTGCAGAGCAAAGCAGCACACCAGAACTCCAACAGTATATTTGTTCACAGGTGTTATTTCCCATATATAAAATTGGCTCACAAAAACACCTGCAGGACACAGTACCAGAGAACTGAAGCCAGCATAATGAGAGTGTAGGCTCAGGTGATGGGAGATGATGTTGAAGAAATCAAAGGACAAAAGAATTAGCATTCCAGGTCCTTCACTCTACCATTCAACAACCCACCAGCATGTCTTGTTCTCGCCATGTGCCAGCAAACTCAGGGCTTGGGTAAGTGGCTTCTCAACATGCTTTGGTCCTGGTTTCCTCCAGCATTCAGACTTCAGTGGGGAAGGGGGAGTCTGTACAGCAGAAATTTCAAGAACAGCTAAGATTGTTTTGCTGTGCAAAAATATTTGTACTGGTTTTGAGTTCTGGAGAAGCTCCCCTTCTTATTTCAAAATTTATGCTCTCTGACACAACTGAAATTATATATTTTCATACAAAAATGATCCGTAATAAGCTTTAAATGTTATGAAATGTGCATGGAAGTGATCAGATGAGGGAACAAAGCAGCTTCCTCTGGAGTACCATAATAAGAAATGAAGCACTTCTCATTTTGCTCAAGAAACACCTGCTTCAGAAACACATTTGCATCAGCAAAACAATCGAATACCTTTTCCACTGTCTCAGAGGTTGGCTGGGAGTAGACACAGAAGGATACTAAGTCAACGGGGACTCAGAAGACACCTCACAGCTGAGCCATGGTGTGTTAACGGGGTCTTACCTGAAGCAAGAAAAACCTGCCTGCACTTGGGATTTTTGCATAGGCAGACGCACAAACCCACCATGAATAATAGATACCTCTTTCTTGCTTTTAATACTAAGCTCATGCTTTTCATGTATAAAAAATAACTGTGTTTCAGCAGTGGCTGTTGCAGTGACCTCCACAAGACTTTTAATCAAATCTTGTATATAGCTGAGGCTTCAGAGATTATTTGATTTCTTCTCAGCAAAGAACAAGGCAGCTCTTGTTTCAATTAATAATTCCAATCTCGCACAACACTGTGTAATCAAAAAATGAAAGAGGCCCTACAATGTAAAAAAAAAAAAAAATGAACTCAGTAATTAAAATAAAGATTAAAAATATCCTGGAATCCTTATGTGGCCATAGCAGTAGAAATACACCTCAAGATACCATAGCAACACTTCCTCTCTTATTATTAAGTATATTAAGTCTCTGGCAGGCTTATAAGATGCCAGTCAACACAGATGTATTTTGGGCATCACTCCTTATTCATTCCTCCGCTCCTTTCTTGAACTTATCATATTGAAACACTAGAGGTCAGCCTCCCAAAGAAAACTAACCTCTGCTCTGCTTCAAATCCGTGAGGAATTACGGGACTCGGACTTCATCACGTTCAGAAGCAGCCCTGGGGATGCAGTGATCAGCAGAGTGGCAGGCTTAAACCACACAAACAAACACAAGGGCATCAGACCAAATGAATGGTTTTGTTCCTAAAGCCCATCTTTGAGTACGTGCCTGATGGGGATTGAACCAGCTAAACAAGTATGAATTTTGCATTATATTCCACAGACACCTGTGTGAAGCTGGGAGCTGTCAAGCACACAGACTGAATAAACAGAAGGTTCTGTTGTATTTTGCCCAAGACAGGGAATTCAGGTTCCCCTTTTTGGCCATTTTTGATGTACAGGAATCTCCAAAAGGTAGAAGGCTAACACGAAAAGAAGTGTTTGTTAAAGGTAACAAAATGCTCACTGGCCCATAGAAAGAAAAGCTGGGTTTCTTGCAGAGAGAAAAATACTTTGTTTCTTTGTTTGTTCTAATTAGCACTGTTGTGTTTCCAAAGATAAATCACACACAAACCAACCTGATCTCCCACCCAGGTGAAAATGAATGGATCTGTGGACAACAGGAGAGCAATGCATGTCATTTACTTCAGCTTTAGTTCTTGACGCTCTCCC